TGGCTTAGTCGCAATATCTTCTTATACTCAGAAATCCAGCTTAGATTCCTTCTGTGACAGTCTCAATGAATCCTTAACAGCTTTGTCTAAATATCAACATGTTGCTTTAGTCGGAGACCTCAACATAGATATTAAACTTAACAATGTGGACAACTATTCCAACTTTTATCTAATGAATAATGCTATACATGGACTCTTCCCAGCTCACAAATTCTGCACAAGATTAAATAAATATTTAGACCACGCGTTAAAACTCAAACCCGCTCAATCAGCCATCTGCTGAGTTATTGATACTCAAGTTACTGACCATTTATCTGGCCTTCATTCTGAGTATGACTTTAATTTACAAAATACCCACACCGACTTTCATAATTACACGCCTGACCACTGATCAAGAAGGATATCGATAATGCAGACTTGTCACATGTCTTAATCATTTCTGACCCCAGTATTGCAGCAAACGCACTTGTCTCTTCACTAACAGCTATTATAAGGAAGCATTCACATGTGGTAACAATTCATAGGAAAAACAGAATCATTAAGCCATGGATAACCCCTGGATTACTGAGATATATTCGCAACCGTGATAAGCTCCATAAAAAAGCTAAGAAATCCCCTGATAACCTGATAGCCAATTTGACTTACACCCGTTACAGAAATTATTGTAACACGTTCAAAAAACTCAAAAGAGCCTATGAGAAAAGTGAACTTCAAAACCCAAAATTAACCTGGCAGGTTATAAACAAAATAAGAAATCATGACAAAACTTCTGCAGCACCTCAATAATTGCTCCATTTAGCACAAAACAGTGAAACGTCCCTGAATTTAGTCAATAAGTACTTCGTAGACAGTGGAGGGCACTGGCTTCTAAAATTATTCCATATTCATCTCCCATTTCTGACCATTTTATGACCTCGACTCCTCCTTCCAAATCGATGATAATGTTACAAACTGATGAAAAAGAAATTGAATCGATAATTCTTTCCCTCCGGTCTGATTGCGCTGTAGGAATGGATCGCATTTCTGCCAAAACACTTAAGCTGTCCAAAGACACGCTTGTCCCCATCATAACACATCACACATAATATCTCTATATCCTCAGGGATATTTCCAGATGGACTCAAAGTGGCCGCTGTAGTTCCGATACAAAAAGGTGGTAGGGGATAGGGGGTGTGTGACTAACTACAGGCCAATCTCGATCCTACCTACATTATCCAAAGTCTTGGGGAAAGTGCTCAATTCCCGCCTACTAAGTTTCTAAACACGAATGAGATCATTGCCAGTGCTCAATACGGAGTCAAACCTGGGCTGAGCATGGAAGATGCTGTTGGTGATCTAGTTGAATACATTCTCAAGGAACTTGATAAAAGAAATAAGTGTCTAGGCATATTTTTAGATATGTCAAAAGCATTTGACACTGTTCATATAAACACTATATTATTAAAGCTGGAAAAATGTGGAATAAGAGGCTTAGCCCTACAAATTTTCCGTGACAAATCGAAGGTAATGTGTCAAGATTGGTTCCCTAACTAGCGACGCCGAGCTCATCTCATATGAAGTACCAGAAGGATCTATATTACGGCCCACCCTCTTCTTAATATATGTTAACGAACTCTGTTCTTTATCTATGCCTAACTGCAGAATATATACTTAAGTCGAGGACACGGCTTTATTAATCTATGGAAAGGATTGGAGGATGGTCAAGAGTTATTCGAGATTGCGCTTAGAGTTGTGGGGGGTTGGCTATCAGCCAGCTTAACCTTGAACAGAGAAAAATCTTTATATTTGCCCTTTATATTGCCTTTATATGTGCCCTTTATATGTACCTTTATATGTGTGTGTTCTTCATGCGTATTCCTAGTCAACCGCCCCAAGCATATACCATACATATTCATTCCTGTACAACCCTACCTGGAAATTATGCATGTGCAACATTGACTCGAGCTGATAATGTAAAGTATCTTTGTTGAATGCTTAATCATTCAACTTGAAGAGAGACTGAATTGGAACAAGCACGTGGAAACACTTGCCACACGGGTAAGATACGTCTCTCAGCGGATCCAGAAACTCTGCGAATGATGTATCTTGCACTTTGTCAATCGATACTAATACATTGCATTCGGGTGTGAGGAGGAGCTGCAAAGACGTTTCTTCTACCTTGGAGCGAGCCCAACGAGCTATACTTAAGGTAATGTATCATAAACGCATTAGGTTTCCGACCAACGATTTGTACAAATTATCTTAGGTACTCTCTGTTAGACAACTATACATTCTTTACTCCACATTAGGTAAACACCGTGAGGTTCCGCACAAGCGTGATCCAAAGAAACGATCATTCCGAAATATATGTCCCCTAGTATATCACAGGACTTCCTGTGCCTCGAGTCATTACTAGGTAATTAGCTCAACCTTGTACAATCGCAACGACGGATCACTGACTCCTAAGACACAAGTTTTTCTTAGTTTAGCAGCCAGGGAATCACTTAATTGTAATAAAAATTGTACCTACGCTATGTACCACCAAATGTAATTTTCGTGAATAAAATATTATTATAAAAAAAACACTCTTGGTGATATATCCTGTAAAATACCGATAAGCAGGCAACTTTACGGCGGTGTTCAAGGCTCTGCAGCTTCGCCTCCACTAATTCTGAGTCACCTATAAGCCTCTTGGAACGGTTGTCAATTGAATCCAAAGTGGCCAGTTGATATGTAGCAGAGTCATCCCAAAGGTGGCAGCAGTACTTCATGCACGACCGGACTTGTACTTGGTACAGCTGAGGCAACTGTCCCGGTGTAAAGTAACGCCTCACCCTGGAAAGGATCCCAAGCTTCCTTGCTGCATTTTTGACCATGGATTCAATACATCTGCCGAAGTTCAAATTGGATGACAGGTCCATTCCAAGTAGCTGGAGACAGTCGGTTATCGGTACGGATATATCACGAAAAATAGACACGCCCTTTTGGCATTGCCCTAATCGGAGACTGCCTGGAGTGTCAAATCTAAACGGCTAACCATAGACTCTCGACAAGACTGGATTTTTTCTCCACTGACCCTTGCATTGGTCAAGTGCCTATCTACAACTGTGCTGTCATACCTGGAATTAACATATCATTGATATGCATCAGAAAGAGAGCTGCAGACAGTGCGGAATCCTAAGGAACTCCGGCACCGTGAGGAACCCTGAAGAACTATCGCCGTATGTTCGGAAGAGTAGCCTTCTAAGACCACTCGAATCGAACGTTCGCTCAAGAAATCCGAGATCCAAATGCAAAGGTCAGTGGGCAACCCATAAGAGGGAAGCTTACTTCAAAGGCCTGCGTGCCAGACCCTGTCAAAGGCTTTAGAAATGATCAAAGATACTGCTAGTGCTTCACCTACTTTTCTATAGCCTCGCTCCATATGTGACAGGCATGCACAAGAAGATCCCCAGTAGATCGCCCTCGTCGGAATCCGTACTGGCGATCACTGAGGAGGTCGTTGTTTTCAAGGTACGATAGGAGACGGTTGTTGTGTACTTGTGTACGCGTCCCATAGTCTTGCAGAATATGGAAGTGACTGAGATAGGTCTATATTTGACAGGGTCAGCTCTACTTGTTTGGCATAGGTTGCACGTTTGCAAGTTTTCACGACCTGGGAACTACACCAGTCTTAAGTGAGAGGCGGTACAGACGTGTGAGTTTGATGATAAAAATCCGTGGTAGTGACCTATTTAGATCTTGCGGGTATTTTCGACCTAAGGTGTATGAAATGAACATTGTAAATGATAAATGTATAGGAGACGAAACTATTTTTCCGGATTTAAATCTTTTTGAAAAAACAAATATACGCGATTTAAATCCGGAAACATAGTTTCATTTTCTATGTGTAACAATCGCGAAAACCTAAGAACTCGAAATGATAAATGTATATTTACAAAGACCAACCCATAGAGATTCTTGCTTAATCTTTTCACGGGACTCTGCCTTATGAATGAGTAGTTGAGCTCCTGAAAGAATTACTGCCACCTTACCTCTTTCTGCCGCCAAGCAGTACTGTGAGCGTTTCAAAGTTACTGCGTTCCGGTTTCAAAGGGTAAGGGAGCTGATGAAATTACAGGCACATGAGACTTGTCAACTTATATCTCAGGGTGACAGTGCCCTTCAGATCTTCAGCAGTGGCAGTGATCTTTGTGATTTAAGGCTCCGAGTGGTACTGCAACGGATGGACAGGCATGTCGATTACCATCAGGCGCACGACACTTAGTTTTTATTAAAAAAAAGTTTAATCAATATGACGATCCCAAGTGTAATTTGCTTACTCATAAAATAAATATGATTTGACTTTGACTTTGACTTTGAAGAATGAAGGTGAGAGGAGAGGCCAACGAATCAATGCTGTTGTCAGAATCAAGCGACCGAAGTTCCTCTGCTTCTTCTTATCGTATCGAAGGCATACATTATAATACTTGCCATCGTGGTGAAAGGATTTGCCAATTGGCGTAAGGGATTCGCCGATTGTTGCCTAGGGTGCGCCAGATGTGCGGGAAAGTAATGGTAACGTCATGAAATGGAAATCATTTATTGCTTGATTAATCAGCACATGCATTTTATAATAATAATAAAACTAATAATTATGATAATAATAACAACGAGGATTTGGAACTAAATACATTTATTTCTCTCGTTAGTTTGGGTGTAATTTGTTGTTGTCTATGTGTGTGTCCATGGCACCCGCGAGGGTTTCCCTAGTGCGGGGCTATGTTGAGTGTGTGCGTTATTGTTATTCTTATTATTTTATTTATTTACACATAAAAAACATGTTTTAATGCAGTGTAACATAAACAAATCGTTTTCCTGTACGTTGCTAAATTCGGGGGTGTTAACCTGGCTGCGCTTGTATAAGATTCAGTTGTGTTAATAGAGTGTGTGGTGTAATGAGGATGGTGCGCGGGCGAATGAGAGGACAATTTTATTGTTTGTTTGTAAGCGGATGTGACTGTGTGAATGAAACAATTAAACTGGATGTTCTTTTTGTTTATTGTTAACCAAAAAATACTTTAAGAAGAGACAGTTTCGATAATCCAGTTAGTGTAAGGAGAAACCGCAGCGCTGATCCCGGGGAAGGACCCGTTGGCGCATTGGTGACCCCACGACACCACACCGACAATTATATTATTTCCAGCGCTGTTATAGTACAAAGGACCGCCGGAATCACCTTGGCAAGCATCTTTGCCACCTTCTCCGAGGATACCAGCGCAAATCATGTTCTCGGTGACAATTCCGGGCTGTGGCAGCTCTAAATAGCGGGTTCTGCACCAGTCGTTGTTTACCGTGTAGATGGTAACGTCACGAAGCACAGGAGACGCTGCTCCTTGGAACTATAAGACAAATATTGTTTTCTTAATTAAACTCACATATAATATGTAAATATGCATGTATAAATAATTGGCCAAGAGTCAGTTATTTAGAAAAAAACAGTATAGAAAACAAAGAAGGTACCTGAGTCGCACCCCATCCAGCATGAATAACAGGGGTGCCATCAGGTATCGCGGTATTGGCCGCAATAATCGTTCCTTGCTGCACCACAGGGTTATAGACGAGAGGTGACTCAAGCCGCACCACGGTGATGTCACCGTCTAGACCGCGGCTCGCATTCACTCTGTACGAGGGGTGGTTAAACTCCTGTTGGACGTTCACCACTTGACCACCATTGTTGCGGTAAGTCGTTCCAGCCCTTATACGGCGACGGCTTGGGGCGTATAACCTGACGTATAACAAAATAGCAAGAAATATGTAATAATTACTTATATATTGATACCGCAATAATAAAAATAAGAAATATATCGTCGGCTAAATTTGAAAACCTTACTCTAATAACCTTACTCTTCAAGCGGTAATATCGGGCAGTTAGAGCTAAATATAATTTCTAGACCCTTTGTTAGTAATAAAATAAAGGTATAATCATAGAATGTCATTTAATTATTCTAGTAATAATTTTATTTTTTGGGCCTACTCAAATGTTCACGTTAATGGAGGTTACGAGGTTTAAGAATTTAGCTGACGATGACGATATGAGAAATTCGCCGTCTATAGTCGAGATATACATACGTGCCAGAGAAGCAGTGGGCAGCCGACAAAATGTATGTGGAGGTGAGAATATTACCGGCACAACTCTGCGACCAAAACTCGGTTCCAATCATCAAGTTTTCTGACTGGACTATCGAGGGGTAATATTCGATAGTCGTAGGATCTCCTCCAACTATACGCTGCGGAACTGTCGCAGCGAATACCGCACCTGAAGTACGAAAATGTTATTAAGTTGTATAACAACTATAAGTTGTTCGAAACCGTCATTTATTTATAAAATAAATGACGGTTTCGAAATGAAGGTTTGCAAAAAGATACAAATCAATGTATTAATAATAATAATAATAATAATAATAATCATCATCTCTGTACCAACCACAGCTTAATAACAAAATTTCGGTTTAAAACTAAATTTATATGTATAAGTATTATAATAACAATGTATACTGACGAGTTGCTCAGCGGCATAATATAATATACATGTATACACGTAAATAATTTCATGTTTTATTTGACATAGTATCCAACATAGATTTTTTAAGCTAAGTCGCAGGGCAAAGACATGTGTATAGAATTATCTAATATCGAAAATGTTATCAAGAAAATTAGATCTACAATGCATAATGTACTACACAGTTAGAATTTAATTTAATACATTTATTATTACGCCAATTCAAATTAGAACAATGCAATCAACAAATACGCTTATTGCCCTATGCTGTGGCGAATGTAACTGGATCTTATTCACCCAAAATCACGGCTAGGATCAAATCTTGATACTAATTTCAGTAGATCCATTGCAATAATCAGTAACTACGTTTTTTTTTCTACGGTAACTAAAGTACATGCTTAGAGCAAAACTTACCAGTGAAGAAAACACAAGCCCAAACCACGCGGAAAGCCATTTTGCCGTGCGTCCTATGAATGTAATAGATAGACGGAATCCGTTATTTTTATACACGCATTAATCTCTAACTCTATATCACGTACATTACCGCCCATTGATAATAATTATTATTGCCAATAAAGCACCGACTTAAGTGCTCTAAGTTAGTGACTAGGTATAAATATAAACCTATTTCAGTATTTAATATTTTTGTTTACCTTTGTAGTTATGCAACTTTGCAGAATACGCTAGCTTTACATTCAAATCAACTGTAACAAATGAAACTGTTAGCATAATATTCTGCTGTCCTTATCATAAACAACGTAAACGGCATTTTTAGCAAAATGGAGTTATTAAAATATTAATTGGAATCAACAAAACGAGATCTACAACCCTTTATAATCGGTTTTTTTATACCTTATTTAGTTTCATCAACGTATTTGACATTTTTCAAATAAAAAATCTTTAAGGTGCTAATATCCCGAAAGTTACCAAAATGCAAATGCGTTCTTTATGACAAGGACTGCCCGTATTATACGATAAACATTACTTATAAATTATTGTTCAAATATCTATAGTAAATTTAAATATATTTTTTTTTACTGTAAAGTGTACTTTTAGTCTCCAACTCACCTGGTAGAAAGTGACGATGAGGTCGCGGATATCGCATGAACATTTAAATAACACCTATTCACTCTCGCCGTGAAAAATCTTTGGAGCATTCGGGGAATAAGTCTGCAGGCAGGGAATTCCACTCTTTTTATTTATTTATTTATTAGGCACACCAACAGTTACTACTATACTTCATGTAGGTATTAATACATTTTAAAAACTTAGTCTAATTGCGTATCTAATTATAGGTCAGCACCTCATGCAAAAGAAAATGTTTAAACAGAGTTGGAAAAGCAAAAAATAGTTTTAAAACTAATAAAAAAAAAATCATTTAATAAGACTTTTTATACAACACGATTCAGATACTAAATAATAGAGAATGCTATGTGCGCGAACCAAGAAAATTAAGAATTTTGTTTCTGAAACCTAGCAATGAGTCAACGAAAATATCCGCATGTTTGGAGCAGTCATTATACAAATTAGACATACGAGCTATGGGGAATTTGGAACCTAATACTGTTCTACGACGAGGTGGATGAAAAAGCCTTATGTGAAATCCCGGAAGTCTGGCGGGAATCTTAAAGTTTAAATTACCAAGCAGTTGTGGACAATCAACCTTATTGTGAATAATTTTCACGTTTAATCATATAGATGTGGAAGCAGAACGCTTCGTGCGAATCATTGGAATACCCACAACATAAGGGCGGAACCCCAACCTTTTTTTTTTTACGTCTCCCGATGATAGAAAGGGGAATCGCACACTTTCCGTGGTATATCCTGCAGACCGATAAACGGGCAAGGCTCTACAGCTTCGTCTCCACAATCCTAATTATCTATGAGCCTCTTGGCACTCTTTTCAACTGTATCCAAAGTGTCCGTTTGTATATAACAAAGCCATTCCATAAGTGGCAGCTGTACTCCATACACGACTGGACTTAGTTACGGTGTATTTGAGTGTTTCACAGACCTTGCGTACAAGTTGTCGTTAATTTGTATTTTACAGTCTATTACTGTTAAGTACATGATAACATAATATGTAGCAATATATTTTGTTTTTATAGTTGTACGAGCTATTTATCTATCATGGATTGTCTACATGATTTTTTTCTACTAATCTAGAATCATCGAGTATATAACCAGAAATAGATACGAAATAAGGCCCATTTATTCCTGGCTACACATTAGCGATACAGCTCTTATAAATATCAACTCTCGTTTGCACTGAAACATAGACAGGCCAACTACTGACCTGTGTGTACGTCTCCGTATATTCCAAAAAATATTCTGTATTTATTGTAATAAAGATAATATCTCTAACAATGCCGTGCTGTTCTATTCGGTGGTGTGGGAAAAACTGCAAAACATCTTATTACAAAAAAACGGAAACTTTTCATCGGTAATTAAATATTAAATATGTAATTTTGCAATTATCGTCCATTATAGCAAAGCTCAAGTTAAGTGGTCGATTTGAAGTGAAACAGTTGACGATACCCAGTGACGACACCCGTCAATTGTTTCGAATTCGGCCTAGCCAATCGGAGTGCACATGTTTAGTAGTAGTATGCAGCTTCTTGTGAAAGTGTTTGCTCTGGTGTAAATACAGGCACATGGGACTTGTTAACTTTATGTGCCAGGGAGATAACCGCAGTGACAGGGATCTTAGGTCTTGGCGATTATAACTTTGGGGAGTACCAAACAGCAGCTAAACAGCTACATCACAGTTATTCTTAAAAATAAAAATGGCGATAAGAATTTAAAGCTTTTTTCAATAAATCAAAAATCAAAAATTTCAATGTTGAGAGCATTTTGTCTATGGCTTTATCTATAGAAAAACTTTAGAATACGAAAAGATTATTTTTACTTGCTCTAAGTAGTTGATCTTGTAGAAGAATTCACTCTTAAGAAGCTTCTGTGATTGTCTACAAAACGCGATGTTTCTAAGCGATTTTTTCTTTTGACAGTATTACAAAACCTTTATAAAAGTTATAGGGAATAGTGAGCGTATTATGCAATAAAAAACTTTTCAAAACACTAGATCAAAAAAACAATTGAAAATAATTAATTGAAATTAATTGAAAAAATCCAATTTGTCGCAAAAAAACGTTATTCTGTATAATTATATGGAATGTGATATATATCATTAGGAAGGTGGATAAATTCCCTATCATATAAATTTATGGAATATTTTAATGACATAGCTGACTTATGTTGGAAGAAATAAAATTTTCATTACAAATTTGAGGTTATTTCTTCACACCAACCTCATTTCACACAATGATTTCACTGTATTCTATTGAGAGACGGCACAATACACATACACAACATTGAAGTACAGTAGTTTACGCGCTCTTTTCATAGGTCAATGGCTCATTTCAATTGTTTTTATCACTTATTTGTCAACAAACAAATGCCGGCCATGACCGGCCCGAGTGCGAATTACGACTAATGTACCCAGGGTTGCCAATTTGTGGGGAATTCCCCAAATTGTGGGGAGTTTCAACTAGATTGGGGATTTTGTGGGGACCAATCCCCAACGCTATATGAGGAAAATGTGGGGATTCTAACGTTTTATCATTTTCTTTAATCTATCAATTGCTGATGCATCGCTAATTTAATCGTTACTGTTAGAAACACTGTGATGGACTATATTGACGTGTTTTTCAACATCGCACATCCCTCGTATTATTAACAAGCAGTTTAAATAGAATCATTATTACAGCACTTGGTTCGGAATTGTAAAATTACCAGTCGGTGCGTGTTGAGTTCGCGATTCTTGCTCCCGCTTAGGCCGGTCCCCGGTATGAAGCAAAACGAAATCAGCTATTGATAAACAAAGCCGAGCAGTTGGTACTTCCACACCACAACTTACCACTCGTCAACTTTAAATATTAAATATAGGTCGACACTCATTGATTATTTCTAACATTAACATAGTGTCACCAAATGCACAACAAATAATCAATTTACTTAATTTTGTAAGGCAAAGAAATATGATTTTTTATTCAGACTGATTACAGAATAATGTTGAATCAAATTAATATTATAATTAATATAACTGCCTCCGTGGCCGAACGGTTACCAAGCCGCACTGCCGTACAGAGGTCCCAGGCTCGAATCCCGGGTGGGGAGAAATATTTGTATGGCCTACATTTATTTCTCTCGTGAGTTTGGGTGTAATTTGTGGTTGTCTACGTGTGTGTCCATGGCAGCCGCAACACAGGGTTTCCCTAGTGCGGGGCTATGTTGAGTGTGTACGTTATTGTTATTATTATTAAAATAAATAAACGATTTGAGGTCATCTAATTTTATAATTAGTCTTACTTTTTACATTCTGTTTACATTCACAGCAAACGTAATAGGTTATTACATTTTGAGTTTCTTAATTCTTTATTATATTTTTAAGCGGTGTGTTTCTAATAAATAATGAAAACTCGAAATGTGGGGAATTTGTGGGGGATATGAACTTTGCTCTCCCCAAATTTGGGGATTTAAACCGTGATATTTGGGGATTTTGAACAATTGGCATTGGCAACGCTGATTGTATCGAATGATGTGACCAAGGTTCACCACCTCCACCAGATCTTTTAATATTCTTTACCTTATCCATTTTACATGAACTCTTACAACGTCCAATAGAGTAAAAACCCTAATTGTAATATTTTTTAAATAGAATCTACTGAAGACACGCTATAACGTGATGACAATAAGTATAAATACAACAGAATGTCTATAAAATAAATATATCTAGAATAAACTTAAGAACACTAGTTTTTAGAGTATTAATAGACTTTACTGGATGTGTATAGAACAATTTTACTATAAATAATCAGTTATTTTAAAGATGAACTTAAAATAAGGACTATAAGAGTAAATCTTAACAAAGAGATTACACTTAATTAAGTTGTTTGGTATTAAAAAGGTGTTAAAATTTTGACTTGAGTGAAATAAGTCTATAACAACAATTAATTTTTTCTAAAACCATTTATACAGAACTATTATCTAAATCAATACTATATTAAGACTGTTTATAGATATAACAGTTTTAAGGTGTAGAAAGTGTGCTCCTTGGGATGTTTTTGATGAACACATGTTTAAAGAACAAGCACTACTATTTATTGAATGTCATTGATCAGTGGCTCATCACATACGCGGAGTGGTGGGAGCATTGCATGGTGCGCTTATTAATAGTACAGCGGGAACACTGAATCAGTGCGCACAAATAGACCCGGCGCGTACGCAGCGAACTGTCACTTGCCATTTTTAGTCCCCTCCCGATTGGTCCACGCGCGCCTCTTATAGAATATTATTGTGGGATTTCTATAGATAATTTTTTTTATTATTAACTTTTAACACCACTGTTGCTGTAAAACTACAATAAATGTATATTTGTCTATTATCACCTTACTTAAATATACAAGGTACACTAGGCTTAGAAAATGCTCGATCCAATGCAATAATCTATAGGGCTTACAAATTGATAAT